AGTGTGACCCCATCCAAGACTGGAGGTTGCAACCCAATTCCTGGTTTCCGGGCCACACCTCCGTTTTGTCTGGATTCACTCTCAGTCTGTTTTTCCTCATCCAGCCCATTACTGCCTTAAGACATTCATTGAGTGTAGAGAAGCCATCGGGAGTCGAGGCCGATGATCGAGACATGGAGAAATAGATCTGGGTGTCATCAGCGTACTGATAACACCAAGCCCCATGACTCTGAATGATCTCACCCAGAGGCTTCATATAGATGTCAAACAGCATCAGGGACAGAATGGCGCCTTGAAGGATGCCACAAGTGAGCTCCTTTTTTGCAGAGCAACTGTCCCTGAGCAGCACCCTCTGCCCAAGAGGAAGGAATGGAACCACTGCAATGCAGTGCCTCCGATTCCTAACCCACTCAGGCGATCCAAGAGGATGCTATGATCAACTAACTGTCCAGATCTGTCCAAACTTTGGTTTTTCACACCTTGAGAAGGTTTCTTAAGCCAATTAAAATTACTGTATGGTCTAGAGTGACTCTTGAGTTGCCTGTTGGTTATCAAGCTATCATTTCATGCAGAGTTATTTGTTTTCAGTTGGGCTGCTGTGCCAGCTTTGAGGAGGCACCCTCAAAAACATTATAGAACAAACTTTTAAAGTATAATTTAACTGCTGCTTTTACACTGTAAGTTCTAAATTATTTGGACCATGTTATGTAATGGACAGCCAGTTACATAGCTTCAGAGGCTTTGATCCTTGATCCAACATAATTGGTAAGACTGGTGGCTAACAGACAAGATGCTTTTTGGCAGTGACCCCACACATTTGGAAGTCCCTTCCCAAAGATATATAGCCCTATCACACTATGCCATATTGTAGGACTGAAGGAAAAGTTAAATTCATTTCACAGCATTGTTTTCAGGGTTGGTGGGTTGGTGGAAGGAGACCTCTGACCTACTTGAAAGAAATACAGGATTTTTAAAAACCATTTATTCAAAGATTTCTAAATTGTCTTTTAAGGTGTAATCTTCCATAGAACTTTTTATGAAAGAAAACTTTCATGCAATCGCATATGCAGCAGCAAACAAATATCAAACATAATAAAATCCAGTCTGAAATGTTAAGAAAATCTTTAAAGGGTTCTTTTAACAACCAACAGGACAATAACTATGGGCCCTATCATACTACATTGTTATAATACTATATTCCATTTTAACTCCCATGGCAATGTCTTATGGAATCCTGGGATTGAGACTCTCTCTCTCTCTCTCTCATCTATCTATATTGTCTCAAAAATGGACATGATCTGTTTGTTAATTCTGCTGATTCATTTTTTTCCTTCTGTATTCATTTTAATAAAGTATCCTCTTGGGGGAAAAAGTCAATAAAAGACCTCCATTGTTCCTGCTTGGACTTGCATAATGTTCCTAGCATAAGACAGTTAAGACTTACTTAACACTTCTTTGTTTGAGGATGGCTAATACCAGGCTTAAGGACCTTTTAAAGGCAATCAAAGTAAGCTGCTAAGAGAGAGGGGGGAAATAACATTAATAGCAAATTATTATTTTTGGAGCCAATGAACACACACCATGGCCACCAAAGCTCCAAATCCATCCTGTCAGCTACTTTACTCACTGGCCAAAAATGTTAACTTATGCTAAGTTATGTTAAACTTAAGTTCATCAAGCCATATTTAGACTACTGAACAAAAAGAAAAAAAATCAGTGGAGCTGAGTGCCTGCTGCTCCAATGGAGTTCAAAGGGATTTCATTGAAAAGCAGTCCAATTATGGCATTGTTGAGGAAATTAAATATGGATTAAGAAGCCTGATTTTGGGCTACCTCAGGATTGAAAATATTTTCCTCCTTGGTTGTTAGAACCAGTGTTACTTTTCCCATAAAGTCATGAGAACTTGCCTTGCTCTATGGCTAATGCCTTTTCAGCAAAGGTTTTAGGGCTGAGAGGAGGTCTTTTGGAGAGGGAAGGGGAATTAAAATTGGAGGGATTGAGTAATGACTGGATTTGATAAAATAAGACTGGATTTGATAAAATTATCTCTCCTATGAATTCAAGGGTACAGGACTCTGGAAACAGGGCTTAGAAGATCCAGCTTCTTGTGCCATCACAATTGATCCAGGTGCCGGTGTGCTACAATGCCAGTCTGACCAAGAAGGCTAAATATCTCACAAATACCAGAATTGTATAACATTCAGCCATGACAGTTAATGTGGTGTCAAACTGCATTAATTCTGCAGTGTAGATGTGGCCTTAGTGAAGCAACTCCACTGCTTGATAAAGAGACATTGGCCCACAGCCTATCTAATATCTCCTTAGTGATCCCTGGACTCAAAAAGCAAACCAACTGTCAGGGATGGAATAAGACAAGGATAACAGGCAATCAAACATGGAATTCAAATCAGAGGTGCTAATTTCAGCATGATATTACATTTATTTATTGGACTTATATCCTGCCTTTCTCCCAAAATGGGACCAGCAGTATTGCAGAATGATTTGGGATGCTGTTCTGAATCAGAATTTGGAAAGTTCTTTTTCAGAAGGATGACTATAATGAC